TTCTCGTCTGCCAGGTCTTGTTTAAAAAAAAAAAAAAAAAAATCAACAAGGGAAAAAAAAAAGCTGCAGCTCATAAAGGAGGGGAGGGAGGGTTTAAAGAAGAAAGGAGAAGCAAGAAACTGGTTCAAAGGTCAGTTGTCAGGGGCGAGGCTTCACTTCTGCAAGTATTGCATGTTATTAAAATGAAGGGTGGGGAAAGTATTTGGCATCCGCCTGCACCATGTCAGAATAATCCGTGCTCACAGGGATTACAGCCAGACACTCATGCATAACGAAACCTGGGACGTACCGATGAACAAGAAAAAAACCCTCCCCCCATATGCTGCCATTTTAAAACACTGAAGTCAGACGAGAGCAAGGTTAACCCTTGCTAACATGGACGGCCAGGGGCTCCATCGTCATCAGGACTAAAATGCAAAAAACAGGAGAAATACAATAGTTAAAGCATTTTTTTTCCGTCTGTTCCAATTTTTAGAAGCCTGTCCAGGATCGAGCAGCTTAAAGAGGAAATGTGTGTGTGTGGCTTATGTGTGTTCACACAATTGTCCAACTTGTACACTGCCCACCACAGAAACGTGGCAACAACCTTCAACTTCTGCAGAGAGTTTTACTGTAGATTAATAAATGTTATTCAAGATTTTGTATGTTTATTTTTTGGAGCTATTAAATATAACTTTTCCCATTTAGAACACACATATGCAGAAATAATCTTACTGTTAAGGTGCCCATACACCCAATCATCGAACGAAAAATGCCATCCGATCATCGAACCGTTGTACCATTTCCGTACGGCGGCTCAATCATGCCCCGACCATCGCACAGTTCAATTAGCGGTCTTTAGCAGAGATCACCTGGACGAATTTCGTTAATCGACCGCACGGATTTTCGTTTGCGCATGAGTAGTGTTAATCGTAAGAATTTTGACGTATGGAAACGCCACCAACCTTGCGAAAATCGTACGATTCGACAGAAGTTTTCTAACCTGCTGGACAGACAAAGGTTGTACGATTGCACAGTATTTGCGGTTGTTCACTGCCCATCAACCTTACGAATATCGGACGAAAACACAATCGCAAACTAAATTCGGACTATATTCGTAAGGTGTATGGGAACCTTTACTCCAGTAAAGTGGCATAGCGATCGCAGGGCACAAAAACAAGCTTGAAAATCAGATTTTTGCAGCTGACACTGGACAAACTAATGACAGCTGGTTTATGATTGGTTGCTGTGGAATCAATGCTTTTTATATAACACCTCATTACATAGGCTCCGAAACTCCTATATAAAGTCTATAGCATGCCCATACACATTAACACTGGAAACGGGACATAAACAAATGTTGCCTATAGCAACCAGATTCCAGCTGTCATTACTTTGTCATGTGTTGCTCCCTCATTTCCACTTCATATAAACAATTCCAGGTTAGTTCTGGTTACAAAACATTCGACATTATATTACAAACCCGGGTGACATGACCGTAAATTAATCTCAAACTGTGCAGCATATCCCAGGGAGCTTCTCCACCGCAGGAAAGACGCCTATTCTCCAAAGTCAATTAAGACAAATGACTGAGTTCAGATCCATTCCCAAGCCATTCCTCCTCAAGCTAACCAAAGAGCGCACAATAGAAGCGGTAAGAAGATACCTAGTCCACATCAACAGAGGGATTCTAATCCTGTGGCAGAAATGTGTGCAATTGTTAAAACTAATAGTATCAATTATTTTCCTCTTCAGTGACTGAATCGTGTGGCCAAGGAAAATTGCTTGTTACTTATCACAGACACCGGGCCTAGAACAGTACGCCTGCCAGTATTGCAACAATGTTACATCACAAAGTGCTCTGTACATCTAAACCCCAAGGGTGACCCACAAGTGTGCAAACACAAAAACCCCACAACCCCCCTTTACATGAGAACACGGGGAATTTTTGTTGTTTTGGTCGTGCTCTCATAAGCACTTTATCAGTTGCTCAGGGTTGCATTTTCTCTATAATTAGTAGAAAGCCATATGACTAAGCTTCTGGAATACTCCCTGGTCCTATTGTATATAAGGGACTCGTACACATGTCCATATAGGGCCTCTCATAGGCTAAGAATAGACAGAAAAATATTTTGGAGAGCTTGTGAGCCTCAGACCACAGGCCTCTGCCTTTCCATCCTATTCCAGAACAAGCAAGTCTGCAAGCAAATCGGCTCTGCTTATGTAGGCCACACAAGACAAGTTCTTTGGATCCGCATATATTTAGCACATGGGCTTTGCTTTGTAAGACTAGTTCTGGATGGATATTTAGGCTGTTATCATAACAAAAAAGGATAATACTGGAGAAGATTGTGTCTATACCAAATGCAACCCTCCACCTAGGCCACAGAGGTCATCGTGCACATCTGCAGCACTCGCAGAATACAATGGGGAGAATTAATCAAAACTGGTTCGCCATAGTAACCAATCAGCTTCTCTCTTCGGTTTGTTCAGCTAAGCTTTGATGAAAGCTAGAAGCTGATTGGTTGCTATGCACAGCAGCACCAGGTCATGCTGCTCCAGTTTTCATAATCTCCCCTCATACTGTTTACAAACATTAAAAGGAACATTTCCAAACGTCTTTCAACTGACACATCATCCTCCCATTGCAAAACAAACATTATATTCATATCACAGAAGTATATACTTAGCAAGTGACCGGATCACAGAACTTTCTGATGTCCATCACTAACTTAGGAGGTCCGCCTGAACTCCACAACATTTTCTTGTACTATGACATACAAAACAATATCATAGATCTCAGACTACAGCCTCACAAACACATTGAAGGGAATTTATAAAAACTGGAGCAGACAGAATCTGGAGCAGCTGTGCATGGCAACCAATCAGCTTCTCTGTTTCTTTTTCAAATCTTAACTGAAGAGAGAAGCTGATTGGTTGCCATGGGCAAATGCTCCACATTTTGTCTGCTCCAGTTTTAATCAATTCCCCTCATTATATTCAAGATCACACAACTATCAGTGAGCCAGCTGGTCTGCCAGAGCCCCGCACTGACATCCAGGACAATAAAAGATAACTTGGACTACAACCTCATAACAGATAGTCATCAATGTATCATGATAGTGTGCGTGTATCCAAAAAATGTTTTTTTTTAGCTTTTGAATAGAGCAGGGAATACCCCCTCCCCCTCTGTGTAGCAATGGGTAAATGTAATCCTTACTTCCTGCCCCCAGATGCAACAGGTAGTTAGAGGAAATCTCCTAAAATGTCCTTCTTAGTTGTCCCCATTGGACGATTTGCCCTCACTTCTTGTTGTTGGGACAATTCTGAAATGTTGTATTCCCTCATCTTCTTTATCGGTGACAATGGAGCGGTGAATGTCCCCAACAGGGACGCAGAGCGTCTAACCCTCTCCACTCGAGTCAAAGCGCTTTTTTTTTTTAAAGATTTAAATAAAGATACACGTTGAGCTCTCTGATAGAGATGCACGTTGAGCTTTGTGACCCCCATCAGAGGGCACCCCACAATATTTCCTGTACTATGACATACAAAATTACATCTCTCTGCCATCATAAAAGTCATTATTTGTTTTCAAGTGTTTGCCAACTCAGGTTGAGTTTTTCGGTATGTTTGGCGTCATGTCTCACTGTAAATATTTTTCCTCAGCAAATTGTTTTTTGTGAATCCGTTTCAACATTTTTTATCTGGAGATCCTGCTAGTAAAAGCATTTCCTGTCACGGCCAAACAACGCTAAGCCAATACCTCGCAAAGGCAGCGTTGTTGTCAGCCAGCTGAGCCATCTCCTTCTATTGGATTACTTAACTGATAGACCTGATTGGCAGCTCAACGACCAACTGAAGGAGTTGGCGCAGCAGGCTGACAACGTGGCTGAATTTTAAGAGGTAGTGGCTTACCGTTGTCAGACTGCGACAGGAATAACCAAGTCCATTGAGCTGCGTATTTCCGCACATGTATGGCGTAAATTGTTTTCTATGTGTTCTGCTCACATCAAACATGTGCAGAAAAATACATCTTAACGGACATGGTGTAAACAAGCCCTTCCTGTCGCCGGCTGACAATGCTAAGCCAATATCTTGCTATAAGTAGCAGTGTTGTCAGCCTGCCGTGCCAGCTCCTTCAGATGGCTGATGTCTATCGGTTCTATGAGACAAGCAGCCCAACTGAAGGAGCTGCCACGGCAGGCTGACAACGCTGCTGTTTCTTGTAAGGTAGCGGGCTTAGTGTTGTCAGCCTGTAACAGGAAGTGCTGTTACAGGCAGGATCTCACATAAAAGTGCTGAAACATGTTGTATAAAAGGAGACATAATGTTAAACATAGATTTAGGGATTACATACACATTACGTTACATTTTAGGCCACCGATAAGATCACAGATCGGACACCCATCACTCATCAGACGGTCTAGCACACCACAAATACACACTTCCTGTTCTATCGGTGGAAGCGTGACGCCACAATAGATGTCGCCGCGACCCTTCCACCATGACTTCCCATCGCACTCCAGACCCGAATCCCAATTTGAGGGCCCCCCCCTCAAGACCTGCGGACAGAAGAGTTACTCCGAAAACACATATAACATGGACACGGCACCAAAGTACAATGTTACACAAGCCTCACACATTCCGACCAGTCACATCATCATAAACACATTTACATTAAATCAAATAAAAGCCATTTTGCTGACATTTTTCAGCAACTATTCTGTTTTCTAGACATTTAAAGCCCAGTGGAGGAGGGGCTGGGGGGGTCTCCCAAAGGGGGGGGGGGCTTTGCAGCCACCAATATTGCAGAATATTGCCTGTATTAGGGCACAGAAGGAAAGAGATATGGACGGATTGTTAGGTCATAGTATGTGGGGGGTCAGACACATGACATCATGGCACAGTTTTTTACCTTGCTGCGGGACCCCCCAAGATCTTGGATCCCCCCAGCCCATCCCCCTCCAGACCTGTGGACACAAGGGTCACTCTAGACACACACACTGTGGATATTACTCGACCTTTCGGCGGGGAGGAAGAGGAGATTTGGTTCATTTTCATGGTTTGATGTTGGGGAGGAGGATTCATGGACACTGGTGCCCTCCACGGCCATAACAAGCATTGACTTTCTGTACTGGACTTAAGTGTCACTTTTGTGAGCGGCTACATCACATGAGTCCACGTGTGGTTTGCACTGTAACACGGCGGGGCCAGGGAGAACTTTAGGGCGCTTTGGAGGGGTCCACAGCGGGCCCCTCTGACTGGCTTTGGCCTCTGGTGGTGAGATGGTGGGCAAGGAGCTCAGTGGAGTGGGTATGGGAGGTGACGGGGGAACACAGGTTGGGGTAGAGGGGGGGTGTTTTGGGGTGTCAGTCCCTGGGAAGCGGGTGAATTCCGTGTATCGTGGCGCAGTGTGAAGACACAGACTCAAAATGGCGACCGCGCAGGACTGAGGGGAGGCGGCTATGTTAGTGACGTCATCATGGTTAACCGAGGCAGCCGCTTGCCGAGGGAGGGGAGAAGGCCTTTCGGAGGTTTCCGGAGAGTGGGCGGTGGCGAGGGCTGGCGGACGTGATTGGCCCAGCGCGCCACTCCCCGAGATGAGAGATGAGTTGCGCCAATGAGATAGTGGGAGATGGGCGGGGAATTGGAAGCAGGAAAAGGGATTGGCTTGGTGGGCGCGGCACTCAGTGATGAAGTTTCGCAATGCAGTCTGGTAGTTAGAGGCTGGGTCTGTGTGACGTAATGTACCTGAGGGTGTAGCGCCCTTGTTCACACTATCAGCGTATGGCTGCGCTGCCTAGAACAAATACAAACAGTGCTCGATTCCCAAATATACAGAAAACACTATAAACAAACAGTGCTTAGCTTATAATTATACACAGAAAACAAACAATGCTCAAAACATGCTCAGTAAAAAAATGGACAAAGAAATATAAATCATAGTGAATTGCATATAAAATCACCTTTGGGCTCAAAACTGATTGTCCGCAGTAATTGAAGCATGTCTGATTACATGAGAACCGCCGCGAACATCTGCAGGATTTTTCTGCCATCTGTGTCCCATAAGGGAGATTTCAGGTCACTTCCTGCCTGAAAGCCATAACAGGAAGTGAGAGGGAATCCCTTTGAGGGCAGTCCATAGTAAAATATCCCATCTATTCCTGTTCTGGTGACAACCCAAAATGTGGTATTTTCTTTCATAAATAGATGTTCTAATCCCTTTCCACTCCCTCCAAAAGACTCTCCCACTCCCCCCATCAGTGTTACTGCTTCCCTTGAAGCCCCCTCTCTATTGCATCCACCGGCTGCAAGTCGCTCACTTACCTCCTCACGTACAATGCAGGACTAACAATCCTTTATTGTATGTGATGACGCAGGGGGACCGCCCACAGCGCCAGGGAACAGAAGAGAACACCGCAGATTGCTGGTGCGGAGAACATGGTAAGTAATACGGCCTCTTCCTGACCACTGGAGAAGCGGGGATCAGGTAAGTAAATCTGCTTTACTCCAATCCCTAACCCTGGCAGTGCGAGGACAGCCTACAAAACTGTACAGATATAACGTGCGGAACCGAGACATCACCGAAATGAAAAAACATTTAGGGCCTCAAGGGGGATTTTAGGGAGATAAAAGGCCTGGGAACTCAAGGGGTTAAAGTGGACCTCCCCCGTCCTTAATAAACTGCTCATGCTAAATAAATAAGTTTAGCCGAATAAATAAACCAAAACACTTATAAATAGGAACATGCATCTTTCTTTATTCGATTTTATTTTTTCCACCCGTCTTCCTGTCTGGAGTCCACATGCTGCGCCTCCATTTTTGAAGATAATACAATCAGTGGCCAGCTTCTTCCTTATTCTGTGTCATGCATGTGTCGTAAGAGATGTGGGGAGGCTTGTTATTCCTATGTGCCATGTCAGTTGTAAGGAGACTTGCTATTCACATGCGTCATATGAGATCTGGGGAGGCTTGGTATTCACATGTGTCGTTGGAGATCTGGGGAGGCTTGTTATTCACATGCGTCATATGAGATCTGGGGAGGCTTGGTATTCACATGTGTCGTTGGAGATCTGGGGAGGATTGTTATTCACATGCGTTGTATGAGATCTGGGGAGGCTTGGTATTCACATGTGTCATATGAGATCTGGGGAGGCTTGTTATTCACATGTGCTGTACAAGATCCGGGGAGGCTTGTTATTCACATGTCCTGTACATGTTCCGGGGAAGCTTGTTATTCACATGTGTCGTAGGAGATCTGGGGAGGCTTGTTATTAACATGTGTCGTAGGAGATCTGGGAAGGTTTGTTATTAACATGTGTCGTAGGAGATCTGGGAAGACTTGTTATTAACATGTGTCATATGAGATCTGGGGAAGCTTGTTATTCACAAGCTTCCCCAGATCTCATATGACACATGTCATTCACATGTGCTGTACAAGTTCCAGGGAGGCTTGTTATTCACATGTGTCGTAGGAGATCTGGGAAGGCTTGTTATTAACATGTGTCGTAGGAGATCCGGGAGGCTTGTTATTCACATGTGCTAAACAGGATCTGGGGAGGCTTGTTATTTACATGTGCTGTGCAAGATCCAGGGAGGCTTGTTATTCACATGTGCTGTGCAAGATCCAGGGAGGCTTGTTATTCACATGTGTCGTAATAGATCTGGGGAGGCTTGTTATTCACATGTGTCGTAGGGGATCTGGGGAGGCTTGTTATTCACATGTGTCGTAGGAGATCTGGGAAGGCTTTTTATTCACATGTGTCGTAGGAGATCTGGGAAGGCTTGTTATTAACATGTGTTGTAGGGGATCTGGGGAGGCTTGTTATTCACATGCTGTACAAGATCTGGGGAGGCTTGGTATTCACATGTGTTGTAGGAGATCTGGGGAGGATTGTTATTCACATGCGTCATATGAGATCTGGGGAAGCTTGTTATTCACATGTGCTGTACAAGTTTCGGGGAGGCTTGTTATTCACATGTGTCGTAGATCTGGGGGGGCTTGTTATTCACATGTGCTGCACATGTTCCGGGGAGGCTTGTTATTCACATGTGTTGTAAGAGATCTAGTAAGGATTGTTATTAACATGTGTAGTAGGAGATCTGGGAAGGCTTGTTATTAACATGTGTCGTAGGAGATCTGGGAGGCTTGTTATTAACATGTGTCGTAATAGATCTGGGGAGGCTTGTTATTCAAATGTGTCGTAGGAGATCTGGGAAGGCTTGTTATTCACATGTGTCGTAGGAGATCTGGGAAGGCTTGTTATTAACATGTGTCGTAGGAGATCTTGGAAGGCTTGTTATTAACATGTGTCGTAGAAGATCTGGGAAGGCTTGTTATTAACATGTGTCGTAGGAGATCTGGGGAGGCTTGTTATTAACATGTGTCGTAGAAGATCTGGGAAGGCTTGTTATTCACATGTGTCGTAGGAGATCTGGGAGGCTTGTTATTTACATGAGTCGTAGGAGATCTGGGGAGGCTTGTTATTTACATGTGTCGTAGGAGATTTGGGGAGGCTTGTTATTAACATGTGTTGTAGGAGATCTGGGAAGTCTTGTTATTCACATGTGTCATAGATCTGGGGAGGCGTGTTATTCACATGCATCATAGGAGTTTTGAGAAGGCTTGGTATTCACATGCACTGTACAAGATCTGGGGAGGCTTGTTATTTACATGTGTCGTAGGAGATCTGGGGAGGCTTGTTATTAACATGTGTCGTAGGAGATCTGTGAAGGCTTGTTATTCACATGTGTCGTAGATCTGGGGAGGCGTGTTATTCACATGCATCATAGGAGTTTTGAGAAGGCTTGGTATTCACATGCACTGTACAAGATCTGGGGAGGCTTGTTATTTACATGTGTCGTAGGAGATCTGGGGAGGCTTGCTATTCACATGCACTGTACAAGATCTGGGCCGTATGAGATATGGGCAAGCTTGTTAGTGGATAATAAGCCTCCACAAATCATGTACGGGACATGCGGCCCAGATCTCGTACAATGCATGTGCAGATTTCCCTGGAAGGCACTGATGACAAGGCCTTCCCGGGGGGCTGATGTGATGCCAGGGCTCCGTCACCAGTGCCTCAGAGAAACCAGGATGTAAAGTGACAGGTCCACTTTAATACTCAACATGACTATAGTAGAGCCAATAACAGCAAAAGAGAGTAAATGGAACCGAGTATCCTAGCACACACATAGCTGTTTTCTGTACTTATATTAAACAATCGTAAATAGATTTACACCTGGGATGAAACAGTTGTGGGGTAGGACGAGAGATGGATAAAAAAAAGCATTAAAGGAGAACTATGGGGTCAGTGTTTTCCCCCAAAGTTCTCCTTAGGGTAACGGGAGGACACAAACTAGCGTCCTCCCGTTACCCTAAGCTCAGTATACCGCGAGCTGCAGCTCGCGGTATACTGAGACGCCGGAGCGGATCCCGACTTAGATGACGGGATCCGCCCAGCTGCGTGAGTGACAGCTGGCTCTGCCTATCTAGAGGCAGAGCCAGCTGTACCCGCCCCCTCCCCCGTCCGTTCCGCCAGTCAGCGCTGGCAGATCGGAGCGGGGAGAGGGGAATCCAGCCCCTCCCCCTGTCACGGCAGAGAGCCGTGACAGGATCGAGAGGTGAGCGAACCCGGTATGTGTTCGCTCACCTCCCGATCTACTGAGCCGACCTGTGACAGTCTCATTGTCACAGGTCGGCTAGAACTATGAGGTGAGTGAAAAGCACTCACCTCATAGTTCTCCTTTAAGGGCCCATTTACAGTGACGCATGTGTTATGAATTCCCATAATAAAGATAGTGTCTGTTCCCATCTCAGTACTGCAATGTAGAACCTTTTTAAAAGTACGGCATGTCTGTTTTCTCTGTGCTTCAGTGCATTGGGAGGCTCATAGAAGTCAATTGCAATGCATCCAAATGTGTTTTGATGCAATCTGATGAATTGTCAATAGGTATTAAAAAGCCTTCATCAATGGCTGTTACATCTTCACTCCAAATACTACTTTAAAAGGAGAACTATGGGATTAGGGCTTTTCCCCATAGTTCTCCTTAGGGTAATGGGAGGACACAAACTAGCGTCCTTCCGTCACCCTAAGCTCAGTATACCTCGAGCTACAGCTCGCGGTATACTGAGACGCCGCAGCTGAAGCGGATCCCGGCAATTATGTCTGGATTACTATCTAGCGGCAGAGCCAGCTGTACCCGACCCCTCCCCCGTCCATTCCGCCAAGTCAGCGCTGGAGAATCGAAGTGGGGAGGGGGGAATCCAGTTGCCTCCCCTTGCATGGCAGAGAGCTATGACAGGATCGAGAAGTGAGCGAACGCCGGTATGTGTTCGCTCACCTCCCGATCTACTGAGCCGACCTGTGACAGTCTCATTGTCACAGGTCGGCTAGAACTATGAGGATGAGTGAAAAGCACTCACCTCATAGTTCTCCTTTAAAGTGATATTAAAGTCAAAAGGTTTTTAATAGTGATGCACCTATACCGGTATTTTGGTATCGACCAACATTTTTTTTCCCGGTACTCGCCAATACTGAATACTGATACCGGATGTCCCATTAAGGAAGACAGGTCGTGTGTAAAGACTCGCCAACCGACTTCCCGATTAGCAGGGAAGCCGGCTACATGCTTCTTGTCACCAGCTGAAGAGAAAGCATGGAGCCGGCTTCCCGGCCAATCAGGAAGCTGGGCAGCATGTAATGACTCGCTGCCCGGCTTCCTGATGCTGGAAGTATCATTCATAGATCTATGGGCTTGTTTAAACCCATGCAGTGGAATGCATTTTTAAATGCATCTGGAACGCATATGCATTTAAAGCTAATGTTCATAAATAAATCGAGTTTACACCAAAACAAAAGTACAGCATGCTGCATTTTTTTGCACCATAATGCATGTAAAAGCACCGCAACGTGCATTTAGGTGCATTCAGTTAAGTTGCATTTAGAGAAAATATAATTCTATGTATCCAGGGCCGCATTAGATACTGTGAATGCATCTAAATGCATGTAAACACATGCATTTGTTTTTTGTGACCTGCGTTCTTGCAGAGAAAAATGCAAGTCATTTCCCAGATAATTTTTCCTGCAGTTACAGTGAGGGCACCAACCTATACCATGGCTTCACACAAAGTGTGCAGTTTTCACTTCACACGTTGGGGGCGCTGTTGAGACTAGGCGCCCCGCTGTACTAGCACTTGTTGCAGCACTTGTCGCCTTCCCACATGGCTCGCAGTATTCACTTCACACGTTAGGGGCGCTGTTGAGACTAGGCGCCCCGCTATACTAGCACTTGTCGCCTTCCCACATGGCTTGCAGTATTCGCTTCACAAATTAGGGGCGCTGTTGAGACCAGGCGCTCAGCTATACCAGCGCTTGTCGCCTTCCCACATGGCTTGCATTTCTCACTTCACACGTTGGGGGCGCTGTTGAGACTAGGCGACCCGCTATACTGGTAGCACTTGTCCCCTCCCACATGGCTTGCAGTAAGCACTTCACACACTAGAGGCCATCGCCGCTTCCGCCCAATCTTCGCATGGGAAAGGATCACGTGAAGCGCGAAAGGAAAGGGCGGGAGTTCGAATGTCACGTGGTGCTGCAATTAGGTAGTGACGTGTCTGGGCTCCGCCCCCCGTTGTCCTCCATTCATTCGGTGTGTGTGAATCGGGAGAAGATGGTGGAGAAGGAGCAGGCGGTGATCAGTGAGGAGGAGGCCGCACAGTATGATCGCCAGATCCGCCTCTGGGGGCTGGAGGCGCAGAATAGGTGACTGTAGTGCTCACGTGCAGGACCAGTACCGGTCTGTCAGGCTCTGCAGCTGTGTGGAGACTACAAGTCCCAGCGTCCCATGCTAGTCTCCAGGCCACAGGTCCATGCTGGGATTTGTAGTTGAAGCAAAACACAGCGTGCCGATTTGTGTGACCCTTCCAGATGGGGCTCTTGTGATAGACTAACACGAAAGGAGAGCGCTGGGTTTGGTATCAGTATTCACTTTTAAAGTGCAAGCCCAGCCTGAGAGCATGCAACAGGTAAAAGGCTGCTATCGGCCAGAAAAGCCTTCTATGTGCTCCTCTCTGATTTAGTTTCACTTTGTTACTGAGATCTAATGTATATACCTGACGCCATGGCTGAGCTGTGCCTCCTGCCATTGCACTGTCCAATCAGCAGGCAGCAGAGGGGCTCTGATTGGCCTGTAGGTGGAGCCTAAACATTAATGTGTTGCATCTTCAACTTTTGAACCAGGTTTAAAATCATTTAAATTTTAACCTCCTATCCGTGTCACAGCTTATGGTGGGGCTGGACAATTCCCAGGAGCTGGGTCGCCAGTGCTCCTTAAAGCAGACCTTTGGCCATATCTTTAAAATAACAACAAACACACCTTTAGAAATGCTTAGGGGTGACAATCTATAAACACATACTTCTAGATAATTGCCGGTGTTCTGTCGAAAACTCCAACTCGTCGAGATCTCCAAGGACATGACTTCCGGTTTAGTTAGAAGTAAGATGTTTGGTCGAGAAGGCTCTACTGCACGTGCGCCACCCGCTGCATTTTCTTACACATTGTACACCGCAATAAAGTATTAAAATGAACTAGGGTCAGACTAATCCAGCATGTTATTAATCTGAGTTGCCCCACTCAATATGGCCGCCGCTTTGACACCCTTCTCGGCCAAACCTTACTTCTAACTAAACCGCAAGTCAGGTCATTGGAGATCTCAACGAGTTGGAACTTTTGATAGAGCTTTGTGTTCTTTGTGTACCTTATTTTTCTTTTCTTCACCAGTCTTCTGGCAGTGGCCATGTTTACTAAAGGCAGGCTACTAGATCTATTACTTCCTGGATTTCTTGATTTCCCAGCGTGTACACCTACTGCTGTCATGAGGGGGTCCCACTCACAGCCGACCCAATTTTCTAATCTATATTGGTTCAGCCAAAAGTGTGGGAAGAGTTCATCAGGGTGAGATTGAGGCCACCAAGTTATATCAGGAATATCATTTCTGGCTAAATGTTTATAGGAGGAGTTTTCATCCATCACAATGTGGCCTATTTGTGACCGGACTGTGAGCAAGAACACCTTCTGTAAACATTGTGACCTGCTGCACTGAGTTGGGAGTGAAACTCTGTTGGGTAACTTGTTATAGATCATTGAATCTTTCAGAGGAATAAGTACATTTTGGGGTGATTGCTGTGCAAATGGTATGAGGCAGGGTCAGGTCGCCAGTGCGCCTTAAAAATTACAACTGGCGCCTAACTTAAGGCGTCATTCTGAGCCTGATGAAGGGGACCCTGTGCGCCCCCCAAAACGCTTGTACTGGAATGATAGGACTCCATTATTAAATGGACTTTTGTTGATTACACTTAAGGCCCCGTTCACATATAGCGAATTATCGCGCGATTTCCGCCGCGATATCGCGAGAAGTCGCCGGCCAATGTTATTCAATGGAGCTGTCTTAACTCCATGTCGCTCGTCGCGGTCGCAAGTCGCTTCTACCGGACCCTTTTTTCGGCGGATTTTGCGCGATTTTGCTTTTTTTCTATGGAGCCCGACGGGGAAGGTCGCGCTACCGTCGCTGGATCGTCGCTGGAACGTCGCCCCGAAAGTCGCGCTATCCCGGCCGTGCGGATCCGCTGCAAAAGGTATGTCGCTATATGTGAACGGGGCCTAAAGGAGAACTATGAGGTGAGTGAAAATCAATCAACCTCATAGTTCGAGTCGACGTGTGACAATGAAACTGTCACACATCGGCTCAATAGATCAGGAAGTGAGCGAACACACACAGTCGCTCGCTCACTTCTCGATCATCTCACGGCTCCCTGCAGGGATTTCCCGATCCTCCAGCGCTGAGTGGAGGAATGGATGGGGGAGGGGGCGGGTACAGCTGGCTCTGCCTCTAGATAGGCAGAGCCAGCTGTCACTCACGCAGCTGGGAGGTCTGGACAGTAATGTCGGGATCCGTCCTGACCGCGACAGTCTCGGTATACCGCGAGCTGTAGCTTGCGCTATACTGAGCTTTGGGTCACGGGAGGAGGTTAGTATATGTCCTCCCGTGACCCTTAGGAGAACTATGGGGAAAAACACTTACGCCATAGTTCTCTTTTAAATTGTGTGCTGGTGACATCCCTTTGAAAACTTGTTTACTTTCACGGCGCCATCCATGGTCACTACGAGCACCCACCAGGATTTCACGGAATATCCTATACCGGTAAGGAGTGCAGTAAGACACCTATATATATGTATATAACCTAAGATAGGGGTAGGCAGACTCTGGCCCTCCAGCTGTGGGGCAACTACAAGTCCCATGAGGCATTGCAAGACCCTGACACCCACAGGCATGACTCCCAGAGGCAGAATCATGGTGGGCTTTGTAGTTTCACCACAGCATCGCTGACATCATAACCTCAGCACTGCACTTAGCATGTTTGAAGTGCACCTACTGCCTTTGCAGGAGATGTCATGTGACCGGCCATGGTATGTTTCAGTGTGGGCAGCGGATCCCGGGATTCAAGGTGAGGGGTCAGGGGGGGACGCAAACGAGCACATATAGGCGATCGGCGGGCTATGGACCCGCTGATCGCCTATATGTGAAACACCCGGTACCGGGTGTTCGCATTGGACGGGTCTTTTCTGCCCGTGCGTGCCCGCTAGAGGGCGCGCGCGAGCAGAAACAAAACCCGCCAATGCAGCAGTGCCGTCCGTCCTTTTTTCTACTACGGGCGGACGGCAAGAGGTTAATAATGGGGAGTGGGGAAGGATTCTCATATTTCAGAAAGTGTTTGTGTGTGGTCTCAGTTCTTTGCCAGTAACTTCTTTTTCCCTCCCTATAGGCTTCGTAAATCCAGAGTCCTTTTGGTTGGCATGAGAGGTTTGGGCGCTGAAGTAGCAAAGAATCTGATCTTGGCAGGAGTTCAGGAACTGACTTTACTAGACCATCAGCTGGTAGGTGACGCCACAAGTCTTAAAGTGATATTAAAGTTCAAAATGTTTTTAAGCTATTTAAAATGCTGATGAAATCACTTACAATGGATGCTGCTCCTCCATGTTTAAAAGTTTTAGTTTCCTGCAAAATCACCTTGCCCCCTGAGCCCTGGTCCTGATATCCTGTTTTAGGGTTTCTCCTTTCCCTTGCAGGGTCCTATGGAGTCACACTTGTGTGTGCTAGTAAGCTGTGTGTCTTCACAAAGACACAGCAAGACGAGCCATTCCCATGCTTCCTGGTCCCCCTCTTCCATCCAGCTTTCTCCAAGCTAATAGAAGAACATTTGCTGGAAACTGTGCTGTCCCTTGTGATCCTTTACTAGACAGGAGGTCCAGGGAAGTGGGGTTAAGAGAGTTGGAGTCCGCTTTTCAGAAGACTGTAAGCGCTCAGGCAAAACTGTAAAGTAATACTTTGTTGGGCAATGTATATTTGGAAGGGTTTTTTTTTTAATCTATTGCATTCTTATTGTCTTTATGTTTTTGTGTTTTTGAGCCATAACTGGCTCCTGAGCTTTTGTGAGCCTCACGCAGTTTTCTGTTTTACCAAGGAACTGCAAAATGTACATGTGATGTGGGCCCCCGGGAGCCTCTCTACTGAGAAATCCCACCAATCAGTGGTTAGCAGTGCAGAAGAAGTATCGCCTGCAGTGAGACCTCCAAAGCAATCTCAAATGACAAGTTTTCTGGTTTTGCGACCAAGTCTATTACTCCTGAAAGTGATATTCTGAGGTACTCTGCTGTGAATGGTGGGCTCTGATGTGAAGGGAGGAACCCCACATTTTCTTTTCTGTGGGGTTCCCCCTTAAAATCCATATTATACCTTTATGTAAGCCCTCAGGGTCTTCCTTACCATCTTGTCTTGAATTGTATTGTGATTGTAATGTCTTTCCTATATTGTAAAGCGCTGCACAAACTGTTGGCGCTATATAAATCCTGTATAATAATAATGTGTAATAAGGGTCTGTTATGGATTTGAGGGAAATGTACTTTTTTACATTTTAATCTGGGGTGCCTCAAGTTTTTGCATACTTTTAAAGAGTGCCATGACTGAAAAAGGGTGCTAGCGTTCTCACCCTACATCTCAGTTGGAGCTGGAAGAAGACAGATTGTTGGAATTCTTTATCTCTAGACTTGTCTTGGTTAAAGCGGACACTCAAACATCAAATTCTACCAAAGCATCCCTCTATGTATGATGATTAACAATAACATAGACATGTCAGGTGTAAAAGGCTGTGATTGTGAAATACTTACACATGCAGAGCGTTCACTTCCTGCTTTGAAAAGGCAAAATGGCTTCAGTTTGGCACAGCAATGCATCCTGGGATTGCCTTGTCATCAGCAGAGCATTGCTGGGAAATCTCATCTGTATTCTCAGGAGATCTCAGGGAAAAGCATTTCCCTCCCCTGAGATTGTATGGTCACATGTCCAAGTCACATGTGCCAGAAATCCAGGAAGTAATAGGAGAGCTAGTAATCTGCCCTTATTTAACATGGCCACTGTCAGAAGACTGGGGAAGAAAAGAGGCTTTTGCTCCCTATGTGATAGCAATAAAGTTAAGTGAAAAAAAGGTTTTAAAAAAATTAAAGTTACAAAAAAATATTAAAAAAATAAGTCACATATAAAGGTAATACAAAAATGTAATTTTTTTTTAAAGTCCCCCGCCCCCCACATAAACATGTGTTGAGAGCGCCTAAGTGTGTAAACAACGATTGCATCCATTACGCCGCACATGTTGCGTATCACCGCGAACGTCGCAGTGCGAGCAATAATTCTAGGGCCATCAATCACTAATAACACTAAACTGATGAGCAGTAAAAGCTTTTAAAGCGTCGTCTATGGCCAATTTTGGGTATGGTAGTTTTTGCGAGTTCGCAGACGCACACAATTTTATAACTTAACATGTTTGGTGTCTATTTACCCGACGTGACCCCGACTTTTATATTTTGCCAAAAATGTGGGTAATAACTGTTTTATAACATAACGAAAACATTTTTTTTTCCAAATTGTTGGTACTTTTTTCATTATATAGTAAAAAATAAAACCCCAGTGGTGATTAAATACCACCAAAAGGAAGCTCTATCTGTCCCCCAAAAATGGTATAAAATTAATTTCAGTACAGCGTTGAATGACGGAATAAATGTCAGTCAAAGTACCGCAGCGCTGAATACTGAAACATGGCCTGACCAGAAAGGGGGTTTAACACCGCGGTCAGCAAGTGGTAAAGGGCCCATTCACACCAGAATGCATTGGGGCTGCTCTGGCAACCTTGCCCACAGCAGTTCCATCCAGAATGAGCTTGTGCAAAACTTTTTGTATCATTGGTCAGTTTTACAATTGAGAAGATGTGTATATATAGATAGATATTTATCTATATATATATATAGATAGATGTCTATCTATATATATATAGATATATATCTATCTATTTCTCTATAGATATCTCTATTAAACAAATGAAGATAAGTTGCACTAAATCTACTTGTACTGAATGCGTGCATTTGGTTAGCTGAGGACCACGTCTGCTCATAGAGAATAGTGGAGCTTCCCATTTCTGGAGCAGCTGTGCATGGCAACCAATCAGCTTTTATCTTTCATCTTCAAAGCTTAAATGAACAAGCTGAAGATAGAAACTGATTGGATACTATCACAGCTGCTGCAGGTTTTGTCTGCTCCAGTCTTAGTACATTCCCCCACTTGTCTTGATCTCCTATGTGCTCAATTTCAGACCTGTTTAAATACAGTGCAGTCCAGGGAAAGTAGTGAATAAAAGGTGCTTTGCAGGATGCAATCACAGTGTGCCGGAGCTGTTTTTGCAGCAGAAGGACCAAATGTTGATTTTTCTAAAAGCACATATCCTTTCAGGAATCTTTTTGCTGTAAAATGATAACGTATTACAGTTGCATTCTAATCCCCACAAGGTGGCAGTCACTATCCCCTTGTGTTAGTTTTTAGTTGGCTTTAGTTTTTTGTTCCATATTAAAGGACAAGTGTACTTGTATAATAAACTCTATGTGACCCCCTTCGCACACCCTGGTATAATTACATATCTACTAGTATGCTGAGACTCTCAGGTTTACACTGCCGCCACCTGCACAGACCCCGGAACCTCTGCTGCAATGCACCTGGCTATGGGAAGGGATGGTGTACTTATTATGCTGCCTATGGCTGTGAACTGGCACTGAAGCAGAGGCTTTTGACTCCTGTTAGGCTTAAAGTGACACTAAGGTCTCGTTCACACCTAGGCGTATTGCGTATGCTCGTCTGTTGCACGTTTTTTTTACCGCGGTTCGCGGTAAAAAAAGTTGCACGTTCCTGAAGGCTACTTGGCTGTATCCCAATGGAAACGCGCAAAGTAGTACCTGTACCTTTTCAGGCGTGGGCCATTTTGTAGCGCGTTAGGGACGGGCAGAAATACGCCAAGGTGGGAACGAGACCATAGAATACAATGGGATTTATATTTTCGAGCGTTTTGTAGAGCGTTCGTCGAGCGTAGAGCGCGCTACAAAACGTTCAGGTGTGAACGAGGGCTAAAGTTAAATCTTAAAAAAACATTCAAGTACCATAACTATAAACAGAAAAGTATCTTATTTGTGTATCACTCGGTTTTAGATCCTCAAATCATCTCTGAATTGGTGCTGACACTGTCCTTCCTTCTGGAGGGTTGCTACTTTTGTTCCCCATGGTCCCTGTGTGTGTTGTAAAGTAGTCACCGCTCTAAGCTCACTCCCGTGATGGACTACAATCTCAGTACAAATTAGTAAACTAAACATGAGATTGTAGTCCATCACGGGAGTGAGCTTGGAGATAGGGTACTTGAATATATTTTTGAGGTTTAACTCCTGAGTTGAGTGTCCATTTAAACGCTGCCTGTCCTTGCACAGAACGTGCTAGACTCTGCATTTGAATTTGCTAAGGAGGAGCATATGGGGCTAAGTGAGTTCACTTGTCCTTTTAAAAGTCTTCCCGGTTTTCTGGATGGGAGTGGAAAACTTACCCACATGCCTATCGGTATTTTACACAATACCTGATTACTGCTGTTGTTGTTTTTTCAGGTGTCAGAAGAAGACTCTCGGGCCCAGTTCTTGATACCGACTGGATCTCTTGGTAGCAACAGAGCAGAGGCTTCTGAGAAACGGGCTCAGAATCTCAACCCAAATGTCAAAGTCAAGGTGGACACAGAAAACATTGAGAATAAACCTGATGAGTTCTTCAAGCAGTTTGATGCTGTGAGTAGTTTTACAAATGTTGTTAGAAGCTGGGGGTGAGTTGCGTCGGCTTAAAACCAGTATTTAATGCGTCTGTAACCCAAAAGCTATTTCTTCATGAGAGGATCCCAAACAAAATGAACTGTGCAAACTTTTCTATGAAAGCTTTGCAGTAGATAGAAATAAACTTGGTGATCCTGCCAGTTAGATTGGATTTCCTATTCTGAGTGGTGATCTAATTTTCTCTTTGCCACCTGTGTGCACATTCTGCAGTTTTCTCATCCTTCCTCTAACCCCTCCAGCGAGTGACAGCGGCTTCGCAAATGATCTGGCATTTTCAACTAAAGGTGCCCATACACTGTACGATTTTATTGTACAAGAATTGCGGGAAATCCCGCGATCGTACGATAATCGCAAAGTGTATGGACGGCGTGCGACCGTTTCTACTGTACGGTCGCACGTCTTCCGTCGAACAAGCAGGCTTGAAAACCCACCGGGAATCGTAAGATTCTCGGCGTGTTAGTGGCCTGCTTGTTCGACAATTGCCGAATGGGCCGGTGTGCGCACTGCCCGTTTGCAGTCATCGGAAGCCCGCCCCTCATTGCAGTCATCAGATGCCCGCCCCTCATTGCAGTCATCAGATGCCCGCCCCTCAGGGACGTGCTTGTGATGATTGCAAGTACGATCTGCCTGTCCAAGATGGGCAGATCGTACGAGCTTTTAATTAGCTTACAACCATCGCAAGACAAAAGTCTTGCGATGGTTGTAAGGTGTATGGGCACCTTTAAGAAAGCTGTACCTCAAAGAATTGAGTAGCAATAAAGCTTTTTGCAATTTGAGGAAGAAAAAAAAAAAAATGTAACGAATGTGCAGTAGGGAAAACCAGTCCTTTTGAGATGACACCCGTGGGTTGGTGAGTGTGCTGAAGTACAACAACAGGACATTTATAACACTGTATGACCCCGGGGAACGGAAGACTAATATAAACTATAGTGACGTCACTAAGACATGTAAAGCTCTGCAGCTCAGTCCTGCCCACAGACCAGGGTCATGCAGTTCGCAGAAGAGAATCATCACATGACCTGGAGGAATAACCTAAAAGAAAGGTGTTTATTCTACTTTGAGTGCTGTGATTTGAGCAAAGATTGGTTAATGATGGTCTTCCCAAACTATATGCCTAGAGGAAGGAAGAAAGGCTTCCATACACCCTAATTGCAGGGTAGGTGCCAGATCTTTGTTTGCAGATTCCTTGGTCTGGCTATATGGTGCCTTTAGTCCAAAGGGATCTTTTGTTGGCGTTTTTATGTACAGGCAGTCACCGAGTTACAAACATCCGACTTACATCCGACCCCTACTTCCAAACGTAGGCTATTACTTTACAGCAGGGGGTCCCAGGCTGCACCCAAAGTGTACCGTGCAGCATTTAAATTGTTGTAATGCTACCGCGCTCGTGCCAACGAGGGTTGCCCGCCTTTTTGGCTCTGTTACATTACAGCAAGTTGGCTCTTGTTAGACGTGCAGACGAGGGGTGCCCGCCTCTTCTTCCGGGTCACTAAGGATTTACTGCTATCTATATCCTCATTTGAAAGATTGAATTGCACTTCCTGTCATTAAGACAACAGGAAGTGAGATGAAATCTACCCCTAGGAAGGGCAATTGAGTTATCATGGGAAAATGTTGTCTCCACTGAAGCTTTACCACCAATCCTTGTTTCCACGACAATCCAAAATTTTCAAATTCCAATTGTAACCGGGACAGAAAGTGAGGTGAAGTCTTCTGAACAGGGGCACACACAGCGAAACAAGCGTTACAGGGGGTTATCCCTTCCCTATGCTATCCAAAACTATAAAAAAAAAATTTGGCTGGAGTTACACTTAAATAATTTACCTTTTCCATCTTGCATACAAATTCAACTTAGGAACAAACCTACAGAACATATCTTGTTCATAACCCGGGGACTGCCTGTACTGATCTCGTTGTTCGATGAACTGATTGTTTTCACTTATGTAATCTCTGACCTTTTTTAAAAACAATTTCACAGCATTGAAATAAAGAGCTAAAATTATATAAATTAAAATAAATCTATATAATAATCCAACTGATATGTTGGATTGAACCTTGACATTTCTTTTACTTGAGGTAGCCCTTGAAGAGTGCTATTGAGATGCAGACGGAATCTAAAGGACCACTTATCACATCCAATGGTGTTGTCCTTTATTACTGTGTTATAGTTTCTTAACCTTCAGTTGTCAGAGTTCGACACAAATGACTTTTGGGCTTTATAGAAACCAAAAAAAGAAAAGCATTCATGTTAAAAAGACACTAAACTCAGGAGTTAAATCTTTAAAAAATGCATTCAAGTAACCTAATGCATAAAGGACAGGGACCAGGGCAGTGCTCAGTGATGCTGAAAGCATTGCTTATATTATAACATCAGCTCCATTCTTGGCTTCATTACCAAGGGTGCCATGATGATGCACCCTGAAGGGTTGGGTACGTGACCCCCCCTGCACTCGCAGTAAGTGGATTGAATCACTTTGGCCATCATTCAACCCAGAAAAAGGCTTGCACTGAATTGCTGATTGGGTGAGTCGGGGGCAGAGAAGGTGAAATATTGTAATGACATTTTTTTTTTCCTAACACCTGGGTAACGAAAAAAAAAATCACAAATCCTAGAACTGTTGTTTCATTTTCCTTCCTTTTTAATTTTATATAAGGCTTTCTATCCCATTTTTATATGAGGCTCCTTTAACAAGCATCAGGATGTTTTGGGAGATGATGACTGTATGACTCCCGTCTCTGGAGAGTATCAATGAACTCTGCAATACGAGCGATCAGGGAAGTAATTGTTCCGCAGTTGTTCTTTTTTTTTTTTTTTTTCTCTGTAATAAGTAAAAACAATAGCGTCTACACATTGTTGGCACAAAAGGAAGAATAGTTTCCCCAGGCCGTTCAGGAACGTGCTTTATGAGTGTTGACATGGGAGCCTTCAGAATATAGGCTGCTGTTGCTGGTTCTGCCCAGTGCCAGTGTTTTGTGTCTGGCAGGAAATACAGAGTAACAACAGGAAGCAGCTTCGTTGGGAGAAATTGTTTTTCTCTCCCTAAGCAGAAACTTTTTTTTCTCTTATCTAGATGTTATTGTATGCGCGTGTTTTTATTTCTCTCCATGGGCTCTTTGTACACACTTGGCATCTGCTGCGAGACCTATTGAACTTTGATGACTGTCTACAGTCTTGCCTTCATATGTTCCAAAAATTCAGGGGGAAAAGGGTCGTAATACTTTTTCAAAAGTTGTACAATTAGTTCAGCCAAGTATCTTTTTCTGACCATGCTAGCTGAAACTTGAACTCTCACAGTACTAACACACCGGCCACCCACTTAGCATTTTTGCCCTGCTTGGAATCTGTTCTTTCATTTTGTTTTGAGTACTAGTCACATTTTGAATCGGGTAAATGTGATGTTGCATGTTAGTAGTTCTAATATATTGGTTGCATGTGGCAGACTCCAAAAAATCGCAAAAAGATGTTATCAGAGGACTCTGATAACATCTTCTGTTGTGTACTAGTTTTTTAATAGAAGGGAGATCAGCTTGCACACACTGTAGAATATCTTTGAGAAGGGACACACACTTCCTGCCTTCTAGCGAAGTTTAGGCTGAGGATCCCATCTGCTTAGCTCAGCAACACGGGGTGCTTCCAAGCATGCCAGCAATGCTGACTTGTTATTTAAAGATCCAGCAGGCATGACAATCTCAAAGTATTGCGGATGCACCCCATATATTAAGTGTTTTTGTTGTAAAATAAATATATAAACATATTAAAAATCTACATACTTTTAAAGCTTTAGTCCTGGTTCACACCTAGGTGTTTTTGAGCAGTTCGAAAAGCGCTGCCCAACACAAGAAACGCCATGATTTTCAATGGCCCAGGTTCACACCTGAGCTGAAAAATGCCAGACGCCTGAAAAGATACAGGAGCTTCTTTGGGCAGTTAAAAGCGCTTCTCCTCCCCATAGACTTCATTGGAAATGGACAAAAATGCGCAACAGAAGCATGTTGCACATTTTCGCAAGTGTTTTTGCGCGTTTATGCACGTTTTCTTCCATTGCTCACAATGGTTTATGAGCTGCCAATCAAAACGCGCGTCTTCATGCACGCGCGTTAAAACGCGCAAATAACTGCATGCTGCTAACGCGCATACAAACTTGCAAAAACGGTGCCGCTTAGGTGTAAACCAGGGCTCAAATGTTTGAAATTGCTGGAAAAGCATTCTGTGTTCCCTGTGAATGTTGAATAGCCTCATGATACTGTGTTTTGAGATATTCAGTTTCTTCCTGTCTTGTTGCTCCTAGGTATGTCTGACCTGCTGCTCAAGAGACTTGCTGGTGAAAGTTGACCAGATCTGCCACCAAAGCAACATCAAGTTCTTTGCGGGAGATGTCTTTGGTTATCATGGATACATGTTTGCTGACCTGGGAGAACATGAGTTTGTTGAGTAAGTTGGGACACATGAATCTGCAGGCTAACTGGGATATTCTCATTTGTTTCTTTGGAGCTTTCTCAGTACCTGCACACTGGAATTTGTGGTGTTTGCATGTGACACATTAGCTCTGGGTCTGTTTTAAAAGAGTCTGTGATGAATACAAGTGCAGCGTACAAGTGTATACTACTGTGCTAAACTTAATGCACCCTCATGCTTTATTTAGGTACACTGAGTAGGTTAGTTGGGGGCACACTGGATTTCTAGCAGTTTAACATGTATCTTTCTGTGCTTGCAATGTCTTGCAGGATTGTGTGTGGGTTTTTTTGTTTTATTTTGCCCAGACAGTCTTTAACTTGAACAAATATGGTGCTATGTCAGCTTTAAAGAGACACCGTTACCTTGCCTAGTGAAGGAAAATCGACTGTGTCCTTGCAAAGGATCCCTGCCCCACTCATGCCTGTCTTGCCAGCATTAGCCTGCCAGTCCTTCCACCATTGCAGCCGCTATCAATACCAGGTGCGTTTGGGCATGGGGGAGCAAATAACCTACTTCTATGTGACCGTGCTCGAATCTAGCAGCCAGCCGCTAGGCCTGAGCACTGATCCAGCAATGGGTATTTTATTGCCGCTTGAGACAGGGCTAGGACCAGAGGTGGAGTGCTAGGTAGGCAAGTATCAGTGAGTGGGGGATGCCCCTTTGCAGAGACATTGTCACTTTGTCCTGAATAGGTTTATAGGTGACTGTGTCTATTTTAACTATTTCTATACTGACCTAGAACTAGCACTGTGTAGGAGTATTCCTAATGACAGCCTGTGTGTCCTCTTTTAACACCTTGCTAAAATACTATATCCTTTCTAAAAACCCTTTTCTTATAATAGCAGGACATTGTTTCCGGTCAGCTGTTTAAGCAACATCACCAGCTACTTTGAGGTCACTATTTGCCATCACCCAAAGCCACACCGGCCTCATATTGTGAGGCAGCCATGACTTTGAAGCACATTGAAAGCATATTAACTCATGCTGCATTGTAAAAACGTTTTGGGATGCACAGAACCTTCCCCTTTGCAAACCAACCCCTGGTAATTGAATAGCAAAAAAGAGGATAGAAGACGGTGGGGTTTTTTGGCTCCAAAGGGGACACAACCAATAAGACTACAATCTTGCAAAATTGTATAAAAGTACATTTATTTGAACAATTGACTAAAATCAATAAGTATGCATCAAAACATGTATAAAACATATGAACATATAAACACCAGGGATTTGAAACAGGGACCTCCTAACAACCCTGGTAAACCTGGTAACCTCACACCGAAGGAGTAAGACTCAATCATCACATAAATTTAAATTCGCTATGCACACAAAAATTGTTTTGTTTTAAGTATATCATTTACACTTTATTTTTCATATGACTCTTAGATTACCTCCCTTTGCTCCTGAAGAAGCACCCTATGTGCGAAATGCATCGAGATTTATCCTACAAGAAATTATCACCCTAAAAATTGTTGCTCCCACCTGTGGTCTAGCAATCCAACCACATCCTCTCTCTTTTGAGTTACACATGATGTCATCTTTATATGTATAGGACCATGACTACATAGATTAACCTTGGTTGTGGAGCACAGGGTTGTTAGGAGGTCCCGGTTTCAAATCCCTGATGTTTATATGTTCATATGTTTTATACATGTTTTGATGCATACTTATTGATTTTAGTCAATTGTTCAAATAAATGTACTTTTATACAATTTTGCAAGATTGTAGTCTTATTGGTTGTGTCCCCTTTGGAGCTAAAAAAACCCCACCTTCTTCTATCCTCTTTTTTGCTCATGCTGCATTGTACCAAATGATGAACAGTTGTAGTCTAGGAGCTCCATCAAGGCTATGAAAGGTGTCCTCCTTCTATTCATACGTGAAAATCCTCTTTAATGGGGGATTTTCTGTAATGTGTTCCTCTGAGCTCCTTGCTCAGGAGAAAGTGAATTAGCAGATTAGTTGTCTGTATATGTGCCTGCCCAATATTTGTTTTTGCTCACGTTTAATTTGTGTAGTACGGATACTCCATACTACCCAGTGCTACAAAGAGAACCTGCCTTCTGAAGAAAATTACAATTATTATGGCCTGGTTTTTGTGAACTCGCATGTTCATGGTTTCCCATACATACAAGACCTCTTGAATGATGAGGTTCTACCTCTGACTGTGCGTCCCATGATGCGATAGTCTTTGAGCTATCACCCAGCTTCACCTTCCTCTGTGATTACTGACACCTTAACAACAAAAAAGCACTTGCTAATTTATTCCAAACTAAATCATTACAAAACCTAGTGAGAAGCACGTGTTCATCTTCGAGCGTGAAAATCAGAACCTGGGTTCTGTACATTGAGTTGAGCTGGTGGCAGAATTTAACATGTTGGTGACCTATAATTGTCAGGACAGACCTGTCTTACCTAAAGATGGCAGTTTTGACAAGGGCGGGCAGTGATCATCATATCAGTAGATATCCCTGACTGATAGGGGACGTGAAGGGAAGGGGGGCAGATCATTTGTTTTGTTGGTTTCGGCTGATATTCTTTTCCCTTTTAATATAAAAGCAGTTTTGTGTCTGCCTTGCATGTAAACAATCCATGCTTATGTAATACCACCTCGAGGGTCTATTCTAATGTGTAGAAGAATAGATCTCATGGAAATCAAAATCCTTTATTTATTCTTCTTAAATCTATGGGCAGTTTTAAAGTGAAATTATGAATGGCCTGCTATAATTTTGATAACCAGAAAAAGCTTTCTGGGGAGGGCCCGGCGCACCTCCTGTGGGGAGGGCCCGGCGCACCTCCTGTGGACTTTTTGCTAAAGGAATCAGGCATTTCACATCTGTTGTTGGGGAATATTTCTAAAATAGCTGAAGGATCTGAAGATGACAATCTGCGATTTCCAGACTATTTTTATGACTCGCTTAACCTCCCTGGCGGTATGATTTTTTTCTTTTTTTCATGTAATTTTTCGGTGTATTTTTTTTTTTTTTCTAATTTTTTCCTTCTGTAGTTTTTTGTACAGCGCGGCTCGAGGGACAAGGTAAGTAAATGCTTTGCGGCATTCCCGAGTATAGCTCAGGGTTACCGCTTATGGTATGGAAAAGTAACCCCCGAGCTACACTCTGGAATACCTCCAGGGAGGTTAAATTGTCTATAGACTGGTAGATTTTATTGGAACATTCATGTGAAAAATGTTGTCAAAACGTTTGATAATGCCATCTGAGACTTCACGAATGTGGTTCAACAATTCATCCTTCATCCTAACATTTGATTTTGGAATGAATGGAGTTTCTCGAACAAAGATCACATTCACTGTTAGAATTTAATTCATTAGAGAAATATTTTCCAACCGCCTCCTTTTTTTTTTTTTCTTTTTTACGTTTGCGAGTGATTGTGGATTTGTCCCCATTAACTATTAGACAGTCAGACGAACGCCCAATCTTTCTCTAAAGGAATTCTGCTGGCCAGCTTCTGTTTCATTATATTTGGTGATACCATATGTAGTCTTTTCCCATATCAATGATAGTTGTGCCATGTACCTTTTTTATTTATTTATTAATTTTTTTTAAATTTCTTTCACTTTTCTGGTTTCAGGGAGAAGATGAAGGTGATCAAAAGTAATAAGGAGGTTGAAGATGGTCCAGAGGCTAAGAAAACAAAAATTGATGCTTCAGAGAGTACAATGATAAAAAAGGTAACGCATGTAGGGGTTGTTAACTTTCTGTGGGTGAGTGGTTATGCGTGGAACATCAGGGCTGGGCAAACTTCAGCCCTCTAGCTGTGGTGAAACCATAAATCCCATTAGGCATTGCAAGAAGCTAAAAGGCAGAGGCATGGTGGGATTTGTAGATTGACCACAGTTGGCGGGCTGATGTTTGGCTACCCTGGGTGTACATTATGCTTTACTTCAGATAGTTTGGAGGGGATTAAGTTGAAATTCCACACACAGTGGAATTTCCCTACTTGAGTGGGACCCTTTGTGTTGAAAGGAAGGGTCTTGACCTCCACAGCCTCTCTGTCTGCATCACCACATGGAGGGGTCTTGAGCAGACGGGGATTTCCAGGTTTCCTAGAAATACTGTTGAAGGTCTGAGTGCTCTGAGCTATGCATATCAATGACAGGTGTGCAAATAGAATGTCAATGTCATGTGAAGACTGATATGATCTTGTCTTTCATGAAACCCTGCATGGTTGTTAATATGGCTTTTAGTATTCTTAGAAGGACAATTTGTAGCAATGGACACAATATACAAATCATGACTACGTTTCTTTTTCATTTCTCTGGTCTATTGGTTAAATGCAGACAAGAAATGTATGGAGCCTGGTGTCTGGGCTTTTTAAAAAGCATCAACTTTTCCAGCTTAGTCATGTGAGCTTTTTTCCCCCCTTGTTTTATGGTCTAAACATTTGAATAGAAGCTATACATATACAACAAACCACATATAAGGATGTTCATAGACTGAGATGGAAACCCTTTCTCCCCATTTTTTTTTCTTCTTCATGTTCAGCTGTTCGTCACATAAACTTTTTGAAAGAAGTAACGGACACATGTTAGACATACACACCACCCTTAATTTGCCCATACATCGATTTTCTGGATAAAGCTTTGGATAGCTTCTGCTAAATTGGCCAAAATTGTGTCCGTCGGTGGCCCTGCCAGCATCACAGCCAATCATTTGCAGTTACTTTTTGGGTATTTTGACAGCTGCAGGCGCTAGCGGTCATAATACAATAGCATGCAGGGGAGAACCCCCATCCACGCTGTTGTGGATAGAAAAATCATTAGAGGGTTGTTTTTTTTTAAACCCTCAGCGTGTTTTGCATATAACTAGTGATATCAACCAGTAGATATATGCAAAAACGTTAAACTTACCTGTGTCTTCGCCACGCGCTCCCGTCCGAACATCTGAAGAGCCCCGGGCGTCCACAAAGGATCTTGGGGGGGTGCATGCGCAGTTCAGATGTTTGGCCAGGAGACGAGGATAGACACAAAGTAAGTCTATGGAGCAGCGTGCACCCTCACAGACTCCGTGGGACATCAGATAAGAGGAGGACAGAGGGGTCGGAGCTGGCTGGACATCTGAAAACTACACTAAAGTAGAAGATCGGATTAAGAGGCAGGATTTAAGGGAATCTAATGTGTGGCAGATAAGTTGCGCTCGGTCTAGTTGTGACCGAGCGCAACTTATCTGCCACACATTAGACTCACTTACACACACAGTTGCTGCTGGTCTATTTAGCTATTTAGATTTTGAGTCACTCATTCCCAGCGCAGTGATTTTTGATTATTAGGATTTAAGGGAAGTCCTTACACTAACATTGGGGGGAGGGGGATTATCCTTTAATGTCACACTAAGTGTATGGCCATCTTAAAGTGACACTTAAGTTAGGAGTTAAATCTTAAAAATGCATTCAAGTACATTAAATGATACACAAATAAGCAACATTTTTAATACTCTGCTGTAGATCCTCAAATCACCTCTGTATTCGTGCTGACACTGTCCTTCTTTCTGGTGGGTGGCCACTATTGTTCCCCATGGCCCCTGTGTGTGTTGTAAAGTAGTCACCACTCCAAGCTCACTCGTGTGATGGACTACAAGCTCAATACAAATTGGTAAACTAAACGTGAGATTGTACTGCATCATGGGAGCGAGCTTGGAGCGGTGGCTACTTGACGACACACACGGGTACCATGGGGAACACAAGTAGCCACCCTCCGGAAGGACAGTGTCAGCACCAATTCAGAGATGATTTGAGGATCTACAGCCGAGTGATACACAAATAAGATACATTTGTCTCAATAGTTTCGGTACTTTTAAGATTTTATTCCAGAGAATAAGATTTAATTCCTTATTTAGTGTCACTTTAATTTGATTAGGGTTCCCAATTCTTTAGTGCAGTGACTAAAGTCAGGTCAGTGGAATATGAACTTTAATGGGTTACTGCACGGACTAACAAGAACAATCCTGTATAAAAGACGTTGTAAGTGATTTGATTTTCTATAATTAGCTGCATTATTAAAAAAAAAGAAGTGAAGATGTAAAACTAAGTGGGTTATTACAAATGTATTTGCCTGCACAGTATATTGTGAGGACATGTTCATAGAGGACAAAACAACTTATTTGTACAAATCATACCCTGTAAATGTTTGAATAAAAGGGAATTGCCGATGGCAATCAGTTAAATACTTGAATACTTTGTTTCTGTAATTTATAAATGTTGTAATCTGATTGGTCTCTGTGGCCAACAGCTCTGTTGTGTTTTTTTTGTCTTCTTTTTTTTCTTGTCTTGTTTTATAACTAGTCTAGGTTTGTTGTATGCGGTACAAACCTTTTTTATAGCAGTTAAGTTGTGCAGTTTACTGAATAAGTGGACTAATGCTGTTGAACTGCAATTCATGAAATCTAACAAACTTTTACTCTGCCCATGCAAGTGAAGGCACCAGACTTGTTTTCTCGATTCCCCCAACCATTCCCTCCCTCCTTTTAGAGCAGCACATACTTGCCTTTGCTTCACTCCGTTCAGCTCCCAGGAGTCTGGAAAGTACCTGGTACTTTTTGGTATGGAAGAGCATGTGACTCACTCCCTGATAGCACTGGGCTGATGGCCAAACACAGACTGTCACATAGGGGGAGAGTCCATGGCCTTGTGTAAGCTACAATTTGAGTGACTTCATTGCCTTGCATGAGCAAAGCAAAAGTTCACTTTAAGGTCTCCCTGGGGTGATATTTAGAATTTGGCTCCAATCACAATACATCACCGCTTTTGCTGAAATGTAATTCTAGTCACTCCACCTCTTTGCAGTAATATCCCCCCAGTTCCTTTAGTGGGGCAGGGGTTTGCAGGCCCACCCCTCAGTTTGAAGTCCTGACTGTATCTTAATTCTTGTGTTCCGCTATGGATGATAAAATTAGATTTTTGTATGACTGAAACTCATTTCTCCCTCCACTCAGGGACACAGGTTCCTTCCCTTCTGTTTTTTTGTTAAACAAGGACTTTAAGAAATGGATTTTATGTAAAGTACAAACAAACAAACAAAATTTCAGCATCACAGCACTTCCCCTTTAATATATAGATGGCTTGAAAGTTACGCGATGATATCATTGTGTAATCTGCTCGTGCTGTTGAGGACAGGCCCGCCCCTTACATTAATTTATTCCTCTCCGACATAAATTAGGATGCCTAAGGTGCTCGCATACACTTAAGTGTAGCAAATGGGACTTCATTTTTACTTGACAGACTTTGCAAAGTGACATATTTAAATTAGAAAATGCTTGGGGGATGTGTGTGTTTTTATTCCCTACTGGTGAGCGAATGCACAGCCGGGAAGAACACTAGTGTCTGAACATTTTGCAATTTAGCTTAATGTCTCACCGGGACCTTGACTCCCTCGGTACTAGAGCACTTGAAAAGGCAAGGCAGTCTCGCATAGCGTATCAGGTTCACTAATGTTAAACAATGGCCCAGCCTGGGAGTACTCAGGTACATCAGGATGTATATAGAGGGGCATGCTAAGCACATTTAACCTGGTGTTGTGGAACTTTGATAGTCTATGATGTCAACTGTTGAAAGATAGTTGAAGGCATGTCAGGATTGCAGGTGAGGAAATGCAATGTTTGAACACCTCTGCCAAGTATAACCCAAATTCTTGTACAAATAATTTAAAGAGACCTGATTTTTAGACGTATACAAACCACTAAATTCATTAGCATGTTAATGTATTTCTTTCTAGTCCATTTAGGGAAACAGGAAGTCATTCACCTTCAGGTTATACTGCCACCTACGGGATTGGACACTGGAAATTGGATGCTGAACAAAAAACCTGTTGGCTGCCCCAGAGTAACTCCTCCTACTGCCAGCATGCTTCAATTTTTTTGCAAGCGTCCTAGGAGAAGGCACATCTTTTCTTCAGCTGTACGGTTAAGGCTAACCTATTTTTTGCTAGAATTTTTATTCTTTTAAGACTCGCTATGCCGCTAGAGGTGACCTTCAAGCATTAGGTTCCACGTAAGGCGATTTCCATACTCCGGCTCTGGCAACAAGTTAGCCGTGGCATGCTTTCTGCACTCACTCCAACATTGCAGCATGCCTGTTTCTAGACATAGAGAATGCAGTCCCCACTGTTGGAGACCCCAGTTCCAGGGACATTTGTTTGGTGACCTGTGAAGGTGGCAGTGTCTGCAACCTGGAATCCTGTTCTCTTATTGTCATAGGATCTAACTCGTCATCAGTCCTCCCCAGCTCAGCCGGGTCAGCCAGTGTCTCTACTGCAGTCTAGCAAAACTGGCCCAAATCACTAAGTTCCTGACTGGCTCTGACCGCACATATTTTAAGCATGCTTCTGTCTCTTCTATTCTCCTTTTCTCAATACACATGCACGAAGCACTCTGGTTAAGTTGCTGGTTTGCGGGCCCTGTGTCCAAGGAGCACCTGACCCTTTGAGGGACAGTGTCTCTTCAGACTGACACTTGATGTTTTAATCGAAACTGTCACTGGAGGCAAGAACAACCACCTGCCTCAGCGTTTCATGCCCAGGGACTCACCTGCTAAGTCTCCTTTTCTGGAGTATGCACTTCTAGGCCTCTGAAACATGGTTCTCTGGCCACCTGCTAAGTCTGGAGTAATAAGCCCTTTCAGTCATCAGCGCTATACCCTCAACGATGTCTTGTAAGTCTTTTTCGACCACTCAGTGAACACCGATGTAATTCTTGCTCATTTTTTTTAATTTCACGTTAAGTTTTATTGTCAAATAGGTGCCCCCCCCCCCTCACTTTCTAAAGTGGGGAGACGATTGTTAATCTTCTGCATAGTTTGCCTTTAGGCGCCTGGGTACAGAGAGGGCTCTTTATCAGCTGTTGTACAAGAGTCGTGTTGTTTGTTTCTGAGCAGACTGAATTATCTGCCCCTGAGGATCAGGTAGTTCCTGGTCTAGTGGATCAGTCTTCCAGTTATGAATTTAGGAATCTTCCCCTCCCAACCCTCTAGAAGCTTCGCTCATCAGAGAAGTCTCATCTCCCGGTCAACATCTTGGAGTCTTGGGATACGTGAATCCGTTTACATTTCTTTGGGGCGTCACCTGATCTGGATCAAGTTGGACAATGCCAAGGTGCTGATATGCCTCAACCATCGAGGAGTAACAAGAGCGGCATAGTTGGGATCCTGACTTGGGTGAAACTTCACATTGTAGTCTGGTTCACTCTTCTCATCTCGGGTGAGCACAATTGGCAGACTGGCTTCCCAAAAAGGTTACATCTAGATGTGGGGGAGTGGTCCATTCACTTGAATGCATTCTAGCTTCTGTATTGCAGTTGCAGGGCACCCTGCTATCCTGGTTCAACTGTTTTGCTAAACAGGTTTGTTTGTGGGTGCTGCAGTTCCCCACAGCTGTCAGAATACTCAGCTAGTAACTGCAGCTAATTGTCTGCAATCACTGTTCAGCCTAATATTTTCCGCCTGGCTCCTACTGTTTTTCAGTTAAAGTTTGGTGAACCGAGTGGTGCTGGCAGGACCACCCATGGTTAGAGCTCTGATAAATTTCCAGGAATCTGTCGAAATTCGAACAGTCTCTTGCCATCTGTAGTCTCTTTATGAATGCAATGCTAATCACAATCCTTGTTATTAGCAGCACTCACAAACATAATTATAAATGCAATCAAAGTGTGCAAAAAAATGCAAAAGAGAACAGTAAAGAAAAATTTAAACTTGTAATACCCAAGCTTAAAATGCATAATAAAGAAAAAAATTAAAAATAAACTCAATGTGTACTTAAGGAAAGTACTCTCTAGCTTTGCTGTAAAACTGCTTATGAAAGCTTCTATTCAGATATATCTCAACCTGCGATCAGTTCTGAAAAGTGTGAAGCCTGTCAAGTGGGGGTGGAGGTCACTGATGAGTAAAGGTTATCACAGGTGGATTCTACCAATATTCTATATCTAATATCATCTAATAGCCCACTTATGGCTATGACCAGACTGAATTCCCTTGAGCCTTATTTTGTTACATAGCATTACTTCTATGTAATCTTGACCTTACCCTTGAGAGTGTCATTAGTGCTGACACAGACTCACCTTTCTACATTCTATGGATTCAGTGTGACACCGACAAGACAGATCTGGACAGGCTCCCCTGCAGGCAATTGTCAGACTAAATGAAGTTGCTTTTTTGCTTCAAGTAGGCCCGTTGTTTGCAGATGTCAAAGAAGGTTCGGTGCTCAGACAGTCTAGATTATATTTTTTTAAATCTACAGGATATGAGTACAAAGGTCGCACTGCCCTGGGGCTGATATTTACGAAGACAGAGAGGCCTTTGTTATATAGGAAACTTTGTGCCGTTGGATGTGCACTACCTAAACAAAAGGGACAACATTATAAAGCAGTACTCCAGTTTAGTTTTAGTAGTGGGGTATTTCCTGTTTCCAATCCTACATCTTGTCTTTCAGTGTGGCTACTTCTCCATGGAGCTATAATCTGACATTTTAATCACTTCAATGTGCACCTGCACACATTGGCTCTGTAACAGCCAGGGTCGCACACCCCAGCAGTTATTAAAATGTCTCTCTAGTAGTTCTCTGGACTACAGGCATGACATTGGTCCTGTTGACAGTACAACCATGCTAGAAGTGCAATGCTTGCTGGGAAATGTAGTCCCTGCGTACCGCACACTAGAACTACTTTATGGGCTGGCAGTCCTGCCTCTATTGTACCGAAATCCCAAGCAGTGTTGTCTGACCGGCTTGAGGTGTTCTCTAGATCTGTTTTGGATTTCATTACAAAGGCAGAGTTGTCAGTCTGCAATAGGAAGTTAGGAGATCATTGGATTTCTTGCAGGTTCACTTTTCTATCTTTGCAAAATATTTAACCACTTGAAGACCGGGGTGTTTCACCCCCTTCCTGGCCAGGCCATTTTTCAGTATTCAGCGCTGCGGTACTTTGACTGACCTTTACTCCGTCATGCAATGCTGTACTGATACGAATTTCATACCATTTTTTGGGGACAGATAGAGCTTTCTTTTGGTGGTATTTAATCACCACTGGGATTTTATTTTTTACTATATAACAAAAAAAGTACCCTACATTTTGAAAAACATGTTTCCCTATAAAATGTTATAAAACATTTATTTTCACCCCAATTTTTTGCTATAATATAAAAGACGGGGTCACGTCGGGTAAATAGACACTAAACATGTCAACCTTTAAAATTGCGCGCGCCCGCGAAATTGCAGAAAACGACCGCAACCAAAATTGGCCATAGGCGACACTTTAAACGTTTTTACCGCTCATCAGTTTAGTGTTATCAGTGATTGATGGCCCGAAAATTATTGCTCTCACTCCGACGTTCGCGGCGATATGTAACGTGTTCTGCATAATGGGCGCAATCGTCGTTTTCGTACATAGGCGCACCCGATGCATGTTTGCATGTGTATGTGGGGGGGCGGGGGACTTTAAACAAATTTTTGTGTTTTTTTTTTTTTATTTATTATTTGTGAATATTTTTTTAGCTTTATTTTTTTTTATGCTGTAATTTTTTTTTTTTTTACTTTTTTTAGACCACTTTATTGCTATAACATAGGGGATTAAGAAATCCCCTTTGTAATAGCCAGTTCACCAAAAAGGTCCTTGGGGGAGGGGCAGGACGTCTTAAGATGCCCTCCCGCTCCTAGCAGACTCCCGTCTGGCCGTTCACAAACGGCCATGGACGGAAGGTGGTTAAAGGGATGGAACATGGGAAAATGTGCATATATTGCGGAGATGTACTGAATGTTTGTTTTTATTTTCACAGACATACTTTAATTATACTGTAAAGTAAACTCTTTTTCCTAAACCAGCTTGCTTTTTTTGTTTCATGGTGGCACTTTTCACCCAAAAAAATGGGCTGAAAATCTCGGCTTGTACTCGAGTATATACGGTAATATAAATATTGGTATGCATTGGGGAAATGCTCCCTTGTGATGATGTTTTCTTAGGGCTGGGACATTTCAGATCAGCTCCTTCAACAAAAGTCAACTGAAAAAAAAGTCTTTAGTTTAACAGGGGTGCTGACTGGGCCACACATTGGTTTGACCAGTGTATTGCCAGAGTAAAGCTGGTTGAAATAAAAATTGCAGTGTGTTTGGCCATCCTTGGCACCCAGTCAGAAGCATCTGGTGCTGCCTTTGCTCCCTTGTGAGATTTACTGTGTCCTCCTCCTTTTATAAAATGGGAACGGATATTGGCAAAGCTCACTGTTGGTATGTATAACAGGATGAAAAGACTAAGATATGGTGTAACACTGTTGGTCTGTCTAGGAATCCATTACAGCTTCCAAAAGAATTATGTAATTTCTACCTGAGTAAAGTTGGAAAAACACAAGAGAAGTATTTTGAGAAAGTAGAACACAATGTCCTCAGCAGCTGGAACACTCCGTCTCATTATCCACAAGTGACATTGCAACGGCCCCAATCAATGTTCCTCTTGCTGTCTAAATGTTTTAAAGAGCTGGAGGGGTGGGGGCCGAAAGGAGGGAGGCGGGTTGTTGAAAATGACAGTAAGTTCAACTTTTCCCCGAGACTGTATTCCCACCGCGACTCAAAACTTCTACTCTTTTGTCCTTGTCAGAAAATAGACTTTTGCCGCTTGAAGGACTCTTTGGAAATCGACTGGAGCAGCGAAAAAGCAAAAGCTGCGCTCAAGAAAACGCCTGCCGACTTCTTTCTTTTGCAAGGTAAGAACAGTATTGCACACTTAAGGGTCTGTTTGTAGGAATGGGCAGATCCTGCAACATTTGTGGCCCACCCTGGCCATATTTATTGCTCTTCCCAGCAAATGTTAGGTTAGGGAATGATGAGATGCATTAAATGCAAGTTACAAGAGACAGAAGAGCAGTGCAGGGTCTCCATAGGGAATTATTGTAAATAGTTGTCTGTAAGACAGGACAAATGTCAGACTTGTCAACAATGAGCAGGGAAAAATTTGCCCTTAATTGTACCAGAAGCTACCACTCTGATTCGAGCGGCCACTACTTCCTTCCTTCATCTCAGTAAAGGCCAAGTAGCTCACTTGTTGGAAAATCTGTCCGTGAAAACAACCCCATTCTGATGTTAGAAGCTATTGTGTTAGCCCTCTTGTTGTGACTCTACTTGCCTGCTGTTCTTTTTGTGGCAACCAATACGGTAATAGGAGAAGTGAGGTAGGATTGCTGGCTTTTGGGTCACGGCACGGCAATGTTGTACTTTTCCAGGCTGAATCAATATGCTGTTATATATTCTTACAGCGCTGATGCCATGGGAAAAATATCACCCTACAGAAACACATGTTTTTTCTTTAGTTATGGCAAAGCTGTTTAGACTTCTAAATATAACCTGTTATACTAATTGTATCTGTTGCTGAAGCTGTGAAAGCTGCCTGTATCCAAGGAAGTTGGATACAGCCTGGTGCCCCAATACCCCAGAACTCCTGCGCACAGCCTGGTGCCCCAATACCCCAGAAAACCTTTGCACAGCCTGATGCCCCAATACTGCAGAAACACACAGCCTGACACCCCAATACTTAAAGACACAGCAAAGAGCACATATCTCCGGATTCAACAACACCTCCAACCTCTGGCCCAACAGAGACCCCCCAGTGACACCCCTATAGTGACAGACACCCCCCAATAGTGACGATGACAACCCCTCACCCTATAGTAACAATTCCCCCCTGGACTCGCCCTCCATGACCAGCTCTTGGGCAAAGAAGGCAGACAACCAACCAGAGCTCAATGCTGCAGCCAGCAGCCTCCTATGGAGGGGCCAGAGGGCTAGCATTGGAGGCTGAATGAGAAGAGAGCTGGGGAGGAGCGATCTAACCTGGAGCATCCCCACCCCCTCTGCCCAGAGAGAAATAGAACTGTCCAGACAGGTGGCAACCCTCCATGCTGCGAAACACTGAACACAGGGCTGCGACTCACTTTTGGGTTGCGACCCACTAGTTGAAAACTAGGGGCATAGGGGCTTTTGTTGGCTCTTTATTTATCCCTCTCTAATGTCATGATTCCCTAACAATCTTCAGATAGTAGCTGTGAAAGGTGTATGTAAAAATCAACTTTACCTTTTCAAATGTCAGTCTGTGTTTAGTCTCCTTGGATACAATGACATCATATCTGGTTGAAGGATGTAAAAGTTGGTAAGTTTGTACAGTGTTTAATTTTGCTACTTTAGAGTTGCTAAAAGGCTGTGGGATTAGAGAGGGAGTAATAAGGAGCTTACCACAGCCTCTTGGGGAATTCGGGAAAGCTTTAGCACTACTTTTCTGGCAAGATGCATTTTTAAAAGGTCCTGCGCCAAATTCATAAAGGTCCTGTTGCCAGTTTGGTAGCTTTACTAACACGACAGATTCAGGTTGTTAATAATTGCGCCATTTTAAGAATCTGTCACTATGCCTGTGACAGATTCAAAAATAATTGCCTTCAGTTTACAGATAAGAAAGCTGACAATATTTAAGGCCAACTCTGATCTGGTGTGCACAGAGATACCAGTGCTTAGAGTGGGGCATGTATGTGCTGGGAAGCCGTCATCAATTTGACAGCTTCTTGTTGGTTGGTTACCAGGGCACTGGCATCCTAGCAACCAATTCTGCATCCCCGGCCTCATCTAGCTGCCGTCCGGGAGATTCCCCAGTCAGCAGCAGAATGTAAACAAAGGGACCAGGCATGCTGTATGGCATAGTCAACCACCTTCCCAGCTCCCTTTTGTTTAAAATATTTTTGATGATTGCACCCACAGAACTGTAAGTAAGTGACTCCGAACCTCAGCCCAATTCATACTACCCTTACTGTGGTGACAATATTATTTCAGAAATGTCACACAACAGAACGAATCTTGTAGCCAAGCTTATTGCTTTTCACTGATCTTGTTTATTACACGTATGAGGAAAAAAGCTGCAGCTCCAACACTTTCAAAATCACTAATTACTGGTATTTTACACATTTTTCTTTGTAAGATTGTTGTCATCCTGTAACAGGAAGTGTCTGATTAAGGACCTTTCTTGCTCATACAGTACAGGACACAGGCACAGAGACTACGGGGTAATATGCAGGTATTATCAGGTGATTGGACACTGGCCAGAGCTGTGTATAACCTTTCCCACGTACAATAAAAAAGTCTTTTTTTTCCCAAGAAACTAAGGATTTTCTGGAAGTAAGAGGGGTTATATGAGTGTCCTCACAGCTCTGGCCGGTGTCCAATCAGATGATGACAGCACTCTCTCTCCCAATTGTGAATGTGCTGTCCCCCTATCAACCAGTATTTTATTTAAAGCGACCCTTAATTCAGGAGCTAAAACTTACAAATACATTCAAGAACCTTTAACTATTAACAAAAATGTATCTTATTTGTGTATCACTCGGTTGTAGATCCTCCAATCATCTTTGAATTGGTGCTGACACAGTCCTTCCTTCTGAAGGGGGGCTACTTGTGTGTTGTGAAGTAGCCACAGCTCCAAGCTCGCTCCCGTGATAGACTGCAATCTCAATACAAATTGGTGAACTAAACGTGAGATTGTCGTCCACCACAGTAGTGAGCTTGGAGCAGTGACTACTTTACAGCACACACGGGGACCATGGGGTACAAAAGTAGCCCCCCTCCAGAAGGAAGGACAGTGTCAGCACCAATTCAGAGATGATTTGAGGATCTCCAGCCGAGTGATACACACATAAGATACATTTTTGTTATTAGTTAAGGTTCTTGTATACATTTTTAATATTTAACTTCTGAGTTTTTAGTGTCCATTTTAAGAAAAAAAACCCTAAACAGCAAGAAACTAAAGTTACAAGTGCGAGCAATGCGAGTCTCAGTTTTTTAGAGTCAAATGCCAACAATCCAGTATTACCAAAACATGTATATATCTGAATTTTTACAAATCATCTTCTGCAATGAGGATGGTCCAAAATCTCTTATTAGCCTGATTACAGATATAAAATTGGAAATCTAGGCAACATTCAAAATGAAAAAAAAAAGTGTGAGAATTTTTCCATTTTCTCCAGAAAGTCTCCTTTTCGAGGGGATGGCCGTGTATACAAAGACATTTTTTAGAAATACCGGTTATTGTTGATTTTAGAACAGTAATGGAGTGCCTCATACGTGTTATTAGACCAGATCACTGAACTGTGTACTGTACTCCAAGAAACTGATTTCAAATCCTTTTTTTTTTGGCAGGATCTCCCAGATTAATTTTTAAGAAAGCCAAAAATGTAAAAATATTGTTTGACATACAACATGTTAAAGCGCATCTGAGGTGTTAGTGATTGGGAAATGTCATTCATTATATGTTTCATGAAATGCTTTTGCTGGACTGCATGTTATGTGCATACTCTGTACCAATGATCGGGCTTTGGTTTTCTTTTACTTGGATTCCTGAGTGTAACTTTACTGGTATCTCAGCATCCTCTATGCTCCACCCAAGGACTGGATGGCTATGGCAATCACGTTCTTTTCACTTCCTAATAATGACCCATATTTGTACAACTTCCTTCCTGCTGCTGCATGTGTTTTCAGGCCCACTCCACCCCCATGCAGCAACTGGGCAGTGAAAGAGCGAGCCTGAGGGCGTCCATACTGCTCCACTTCCTCCTCGGGGTGTGTTGTACACCTGCTCTGCTATTCTCAGTTGTCCCATTACCCTGTGACCTGCATTCCTCTCAGTCTTCATACATGCACTTTTCTTGACACTCGTGCACATCTTAGGTTTCCGCTGTGGGATACAGCTTTGTTTTTAATGGATGCTAAACTATGTAGCAAGAGTTTGCAGTGGTCTCCGTGTATTCATTGTTGTAGGTTGGTGGGATTACACAGCGGTTACTAATGATCATTCAGAGGGCTCATTGTTACTGTTGTATAGCACAGCTTTGTGTTGTAAGTTTTAGTTGTAGTGGACTGATGTTCTCTCTGCAGTGTTTCCATCTCTTTCTGATTTGTAGATACAAGATTGTATCTCTTGATTCACTAAATTGCAAAAGTCCTGATTTTATTTATAGTAGGTTCCAATTCCCATTCGCACTCCTACGGTCTTACAGTTCAAAAAGGTATCTGTGGTGCTCTAGGTGACGGCACGGATCTCGCCGTGCAAACGCTAGCAGTAAATACAAGGATTTCACCGGCACACACTTGGAGATTCAAATATCAATAGTGCATTGATGTATATATTTAGTGAGGGACCTCACATAGTGTCAAGGTGGTAATGTTTCAGGTCCACACTGGGATCCTTCATTAGAGCGACACAGTGAACAACTATTTTATATAGTGCCAACAGTTTACAAAGCGCTTTACATACTGTGCACAACAGTACCTGCCATCAATTAGTTTCCAATCTAAGATCCCTATCGCGCATGCATACACACAAAGTCCAATTTAGACCGGGGAGACTATATATACTCCATGCAGGTCATTTCCTGGTTGGTATTTGAACTGAGGATCCCAGTGTTATAAGACAGACATGCCAACCACTAAGCCACTCTATTGCCAAATTCTGGTTTTCTATCTTGGCTCTTAAAGTTACTAGTTTTAAGGGGGAGTATTTAAATGTACTTTCTAGTCAGTATTGCAAATTTAAAGGGTAGATGCATTTCTGGCACAACTCTGATTCGCTCCCTTTTAAATTCCTTAAAGCAGAAGTAAACCACTGTGCGAAGGGTTAGTTTCTGCCCTAATGTGCAAATATGCACAGCTTACTTAGGGGACACTTAAAAGT